ATCTATCTATCTATCATCTATCTATCTATCTATCTTCTATCTATCTATCTATAATCTGACAGTATCTATCTATCTATCTATCTATAATCTCACAGTATCTCTATCTATTGCAAGAAATGCAAGGGTGTGAACTGCAAATGCAAACTTGTAATTAAAAATTTAAAAAATGGTTACTGCACCCAAAATATATGGGCAAACTTCTATATTTGAATTTTAACATGTAATTTGTCAATAACCTGTTATTATTTGAGTTGAATGATGGAAGTTTTGCGTCATGCCTATCTTGTCTACTGTGTTGGCAGTGTTTCAGTGCAGGTGTTTGTCCGATCACTCACCTTTCGGTACCGCATCCATGTCCACGACTTCTTCAACACCGTCTGCTGCTTATTCCCACGAACTCATGTGAAACAATAACTTACAACACCTTTCATATCTACTGACATTATCTATCGGGCGGAAGCGCGTCTCGAACAGGTGAATCAGCTCACGCGCGCCGCACTGAAAGCACGCGACTCCAAAGACGGAATTTAAAAGCTAGGTCCAAAGACCAAAACATTTTTCTTAAATGTATTTACACGAATAACAACACGTGGATTGTTCTATATGTAAAACTCATTAAAGAATACAAATGTCTAATGTCTCCCCGTGTGAGCGCAGGTCTCGGGTGCGGTAAACCGTGAATGCAGGATTAACTCATGTGAGCCGGTTAACGGGGATGATTGTGCTCAAACCTTTCAAAAGGGCGGTGGAGACACGAGGACATTTCTGGGCGCCTTGGAGCATGCTAACCAGATATTTCTAAAGTTACTTCAAGTAAACTATTTTTTTAATCGAAGGAAAAGAAAAACAGAATATGAAACGAAGTTAAACTTTACGAGTCACATCCCTATTATAAATTCATTTTAACGATCACAGCGCCTCTAAGCGGTAGCAGACGAAAAGACAAAGACTGCAGATACATGAAAGTGTATTTATTATAACCATTGCAATGGACGAGCACTTCCTGAAAATACAAGGCAGCTGCTGTTGTAAACATTAAATATGCAGGAAATACAAATGCCTTAATTTTTGGATGGAATGAACACTTAACAATGATCTTCAAACATATTAAATAGCCTACTTCAAATAAAGTAAGAATTAGCATAGTGCCATATTTCTCTGAATCAGCCAAATCTGTGGTCCGTTACACCTTCAAAGATATTAAGATGAATGTTCATTAGATAATTTATGTCTATGACTACAGTTCGTATCTCTCCTTAAAATAAGACCATTTTGCCCAACAATGCCAATTTGTGATGCACAATCCACATTAATGTAAACATGATTAATTTTCTTAATTTCTAAATCACTAATTTGTGTTGCAATGACAGAGAAGTCTTTACCTTGGCACTTTGTAAGAGTGAAAACAGCTTGTAAACATGGAAACAACTTGAAACATTAAATAAAACTCAAAACAATCAGTTAAAAAGAATATTTGGTCATGTAACAAACAGGCAAAGAGACATCCTTCAAACACAATTGACAAAATCAAGTACATTTAGGGATGGAATAAAGTGTAGGCACAATTAAATCCATAGAATGAAGCAAAAATGTGGATTGAATAACACTAACCTACATCCTATTTACAAGGCATTATATCGCGGCTTTTATATTTGGGCATCTATATACACACCTGATCCTGTAATCTCACTTCTTGCTTGACTTTTTGCTATCCTTCATATACTGCATCATAATTTAATCCTGTCCACTGGGCCCTTCCTGCATTTCTGAGAGACTTTAGCAATATGCCATACATGTTTTGCCAATATCTGTTTTCATACATATTTTAAGGACATGTAAGAAGCTCCAGAAGGGGTGAGCGATAGCACAGTTAGGTTATAGTTAATACAGCTATGATCCAGCCTCTTGTTCCTGTCCCAGTGCTTCCAGCAGCAGACCCATAGGAGTCCTCTTCAATCCTATACTCTCCAGCTTATTCTCCAGTTTATTCTTAAGGCTCCGGAGTCTCACTGAAGCATGGATAAGGATCACTACGAGGAGAAAAAGTCAAAAAAGGACTGTTACAGCCATTTAATACACATTGCTTAAGCTATCAGTAAGTTCATGTATACAGTACATGCAAAATATTATCAAAACAACAAAGACAAATGAGAAAGAGTACTAACTTAAAATGGGGGAGGCAATGCCAGAGAGGAAAACAGCTACCCCTCCTAAAACAGACAGAAGCAGGTAGCTGGAGCCCAAAATTGCAGCCAGGGTGAGCGATGGATGATTTCTCCGGAATCGTCGGATTACGGCCTTGTTTTCAGCCGCCCAGACAAACCCCAAGAACAGAAGGATCACAACTGTTGCCCCAAGAATCAGCTGGAGTGGTTGGAAATACCTATGACACAATAACACGCACAAATTAAAAATATAAATAAAATAAATAAACATGTAATGACACATGTAATGATAATCAGCATCATCATAAGAAAAAAAAATAACATTTACAATAATTAAAAATAATTTATATACATATATATATATATGTATATATATTGGGATGGGTGAGGAAAATCACATGTTGGTTTTACTATTTTGCAAGTTGTCTGAACAGTAACTAACTTCCCTATTTTAAAAACCAATATAAGATAACAAAATATCAAATAAAACAGAATTGCAGACATTAAGGCCAAAGTGGGTGAAGATAAAAATCTAAGGACAAAGATATACATTTCAAATACACATAATATGCAAATAAAACAAACAGTGCTTTATTTTTAGGTACGGTAGGTGTATTTAGCAGTGGCATTCAAGAAACTGAATGAACAAATATAAAAACAAAACACTAGGCCTATACTGTATACACTCCACTGTAATGTAATTATACATTGATTCTTAGTAAAGTTTTATTAAAGGGGTCATATGATGCGATTTAAAGTTTTCCTTTCTCTTTCGAGTGTTACAAGCTCTTGGTGCATAAAAAAGATCTGTAAAGTTGCAAAGACTGAAGTCTCAAATCCAAAGAGATATTCTTTATAA